AGGCACATGCCCTTTACCGGAATCAGACCCGTGACTCTTTGGTCTGTGGGTCAATGCTCTAACCACCGAGACAAACCGGCCAGGGCTTAACTTTATTTTTAGAGCAATTTTAGTTTAACAGAAAAATTGAATGGACAATATATAGTGTTACCATATACCCCTGGCCCGCACACACGAAAAGGCCTTACCCATTATCAACATCCCCCAAAAGAGTGGTACATTTGTTAACATCAGTGAACCTACACTGACACATCATCACAGTTTACTCCTGGTGTTATATATTCTATGGGTTTTGACAAATGTGTAATATGTATACACCTTTATGGTATTATACAGAGTAGCTTCACTACCCTAAAAATCCTCTGTTCTCTGCCTATCCACCCCTTCCTCTGCCCTGGCAACTATTGATCCTTTTACTGTCTCCATGCTTCTGCCATTTTGAGAATGTCATGTAGTTGAAATCATACAATATGAAGCCTTTTCAGATTGGCTCCTTTCCTTTTGTAATATGCACTTAAGTTTCCTCCCTGTATTTTAATGGTTTGATAGCTCATTTCTTTTTAGTATTGAATAATATTCCATTGTCTGGCTGTACCACAATATATTTATCCACTTACCCTACTGAAGGACATGTTGGTTGCTTTCAGGTGTTAACAATTGTGAATAAAACTGCTATAAACATCCATGCGCATGTTTTTGTGTGGACATAAGTTTTCAACTCCTTTGGGTAAATACCAAGCAGTGTGACTGCTGGATCACATAGTAAGTGCATGTTTAATTTTGTGAGAAATGACCAAAATGTCTTCCAAAGTGGCTTTACCATTTTGCATTCCCATTAACAATGAATAAGAGTTTCTGTCGCTCCCATCTTTGCCAGCATTTGGTGTTGTCAGTGTTTTAAATTTTGACTTTTCTAATAGTTGTGTAGTGTTACTTTAGTTTGCATTTCCTTGATGATATGTGATGTGGAGCATCTTTTCAAATGTTTATTTGCCATCTGTTTATCTTTTTTTTTTACATTTTTTTTTTTGTTGACACTATTATAACACCTCTTTTGTCCATCTCCACCCAGCCCCCACCCCCCTCCCATGGCCTTCACCACTCTGTTGTCAGTGTCCATGGGCCATGTTACATATATGTTCTTTGGCTACTCTCTTCACCCTCTTTTATCTAGTCCCTTCCACTTCCCTCCCCTCTGACCTCTGTCAGTCTGTTCCATGTATCCATGCCTCTGGTTCTATTTTGTTCATCAGTTTATTTTATTCATTAGAGTCCACATATAAGTGAGATCATATGGTATTTGTCTTTCTCTGACTGGATTATTTTACTTAGCATAATAATCTCTAGGTCTATCCATGCTATCCCATAGGGTAAGAGTTCCTTCTTTTTTTTACAGCTGTGCTCTATTCCCCTGTGTAAATGTAACACAACTTTTTTTATCCACTCATCTACTGATGAACACTTGGGCTGTTTCCAGATCTTGGATATGGTAAATAATGCTGCTATGGCCCTGGCTGGTTTGGCTCAGCAGTTAGAGTGTCATCCTGAGGGCCAAAGGGTCTCAGGTTTGATTCCCTGTCAAGGGCAAGTACCTGGGTTGCAGGTTCAATCCCTAGCCCCAGTCAGGGTCATGTGGGAGGTAACCAGTCAATGTGTCTCCCTCACATCGATGTCTCTCTCTCTCTCTCTCTCTCTCTCTCCCTCCCTCCCTCCCTCCCTTGAACTCTATCTAAAAATATCCTCGGGTAAGGAATAACAACAAAAATAATGCTGCTATGAACATAGGGGTGTATTGCTGAGTCAAAAGGCAATATCATTTTTTTTAAATCCTCACCCAAGGATATTTTTCTATTTATCTTCAGATAGAGTGGCAGGGAGAGACAGGGAAAGAAACGGAGAGAGAGAAAAACAGGGAGAGAGAAAGAAACATTGATGTGAGAGGGACACATCGACTGGTTGCCTCCCGCATGACCCCGACCAGGGCTGGGACAAACCACAACTGAGGTACATGCCCTTGGCCAGAAATGAAACTGAAACTCATTGGTCTGCCAGCTGACATACTACCGATAAGCCAAACTGGCCCAGGCTCATTTTGAATTTTTTGAGAAACTACTATACTGTTTTTCCATAGTGGCTGCACCAATCTGATTCCCACCAACAATGTATGAGGGTACCCTTTTCTCCGCATCCTTGCCAACACTTGTTTTATTGATGATAGCCACTCTAAGTGGTGCAAGGAAATATCTCATTGTGGGTTTGTATATCTTCATTAGCTCTTTTTTTTTTAATCCTCACCTGAGGACATTTTTGCATTCATCTTCAGACAGAGCAGGAGGGAGAGAGGGAGTAAGAGAGAGAGAAACATCGATGTGAGAGACACATCGACCGGCTGCCACCTACACAACCCCAACCGGGGCTGGGAACAAACTGCAACTGAGGTAGGTGCCCTTAGTGGGAATTGTACCCAGGTCTCTCTGCTCTGCAAGGTGAAGCTCTAACAGCTGAGCCAAACCAGCCAGGGCTCTTTTTTTTTTTTTTTTTTTAAATCCTCACCCGAGGACACTTCCATTGGTTTTCAGATAGAGTGGGAGGGAGGGAGAGAGAGAGAGAGAAAAACCTCCATGAGAGAGATACACACTGATTGGTTGCCTCCCGCATGACCCCAAGGCCAGAGATAAAACTGCAACCAAGGTATGTGCCCTTGACTGGAAGAGTTAGTAAAATTGTATTTGATATTGTGCCCTTAAATTACATAGTTGACAAGTTTTATAACTTTTCTTTTTTTAACCTCACCTGAGGACATTTTTTCCATTTTTTATTCAGATAGAGCGGGAGAGAGAGAGAGAAACATCGATGTGAAAGGGACACATCGAGTGGCTACCACCTGCACAACCCAACCAGGGCCGGGGACAAACTGCAATCAAAGTACATGCCCTTAGCGGGAACCGAACCCGGGTCTCTCTGGACCGCAGGCCGATGCTCTAATTGCTGAGCCAAACTGGCCAGGACAAGTTTTATAACTATTTCAAAATAAGATTTATTCTTCCTGGAAATAGTGGACAAAAAAAAAAATTATCCTATAACAAAATGAAAACTTCAACATGTCAATCCCAATGTTAGGCAGAATATCTGTTAGGGCTTTGCATTTGCTTTAAGCTCTCAGTTTTCAAAGTGACATAATCCAAATGATGTCGTGCTTGTGTCCTGGAATGAAAGGAGGAATGATGTCTCATTCTCCAAAATACTTCTTAATAGAACAACAGAATATATCCAAACACATATGCTGGCATGACTTTCTCCTTGACTTGGCTTAATGGAACCTCGGATTTACAAAAAAATTCCTTTGCCATTCTTGCAGCCGTAAGTCATGTTATCAGTTTTGAACAGACTAGGACTGTCTGTCTTTCTATTGCCATGCACCATGGTGTATTATATGAATTGAGAGTTTTGTTTCTATCAAAAGTGAGAATGCTTCTGGAGTGAGGAAGCCTTTGAACTAGCAGAACCTTTGCCCTTTATTTTTATTTCATTTTTTTGGTATGTGCCCCTAGCGGGAACTGAATCCGGGACTCTCTGGTCCGCAGGCTGATGCTCCAACCGCTGAGCCAAACTGGCCAGGGCTGCCCTTTAATATTAACTTGCTCAACTGCAAGGAGAGTAAGAGCCAGGGGAGGAATGTTTTGCTTCTATCTGCCACTGTATGCTAGGCAAGCTACCTGACTTGTTTGGACCTTTTTACCTTAGCTGGAAAGCCAGAGGTTTGGGCTGTATAATCCATAATGTCTCTGAAACCAAGTGCTAGGTTTGTGAAAAATACTGATTCTAAAAAGGTAAAATATTGTCCTGAATCTATAGATTCACGCAATTTTACGACCATTATAAAGCAAAACAAAGCTTGGATTTAATGAGGGGAGAACTTCTCTTCAAAGACTTTCTCCTAAATAAAGAAATAAAGCATATGGCATCAGTACAGGAGTAAGCCAGTCTATTTTACGCAATGTTAAATTCTTTGTATCTTCCTAGGATCACTTATGTCTTACTGCAAAAATGGGAGTCAAATAGTCCACCTGAGTACGAAACCTGAAATAAACTTGTGGTATTTGGGGGGGGGGGGTACCCTGGCACTGTTAGGGACAACCATCTATTTAACTCATTTTATGCTCATAACGACTTGAAAAAGTACCATCTATATTTTCGAGCTCAGGAAACGGAGGTATTAGAGATTTTGTGGTTTGCCAAGCCCCACGGATAGCGGCAGAAGATTTTAAATTTGCCTGTCCATGTGGGAAGGTTTCCGGAACCCCGGGAATCTCCTCAGTGGTGCTTTACAAAACAGAAGGTCGTAGTCCCTTGAACACGATCAGTTAACGTGCAGGGTGTTCTCCGGGACAGGGCCCATACTGCACGCTGCACACTGATTTTCTCAGCTCTCAGAACAACCCTACGAATTAGGTACCTTTAGTAATTGCTTACTCTTCGAAGGGCGGGGTACTATGAGACCACCGTGGAGCTGCAGGTGGTGGGCGTCACCGCCGCCAGGCGGATCCTGCAGAGTGGTGGCGGTCTGGGGAAAGTTAGGGAACGAGAGTGGTGGGTGTCTCGGTGTTTCGCTTCTCTGAAGCCCAGAGGAGCCTCTGTAGCTGTGGTCTCCACATAGTATTGTCTGTCCCAGAGCTCCCCCAGGCTTTGCGCCACTTCGAGCCCAGGGATCTGTGTGTCCCCGTTACCGTGCAGGTCTCGGCTCGCGTAGACACTGGAGCTGCGCGAATGAGCCCTGAGGAGGGCGTAGCCTGCAGGATTCCGGCCCCGAGCGGTGCAAAGGGACAGGCGCGCCCTCACCCGCGCTGCGCGTCCCTGGAGCTCAGCTGACCTGGAGGCGGGGCCGGCAGCAGGGGGTGGGGCTGGGGCTGGGAGGGCTGGCTCCTGGGCTCCTTCCGAATTTACTGTGGCTTCCGTGGTCCCTGCAGCACCCGGACCGACACCCTCCACTAGGTCCCACCATGCGCCTCTGCCTGCTCTTGCTGCTGGCGCTGTGCGGTGCGGACCCCACGGCCGCGGCGCGCAGCCACAGCTTGCGGGGAAGTTGGAGCATTCGCAACGCAAACGGCTCACTGGAGCTGCCGGGGGAGGTCCCCGGCTGCGTGCACATGGCCTTGTTCCAGCGGAACCTCATCCAGGTACAGAGTGTAGAGGCCCCCGCCCGCGTTCCCTTCGTGGCGAGGGGCCCACGAACTGTCTAGGAGCCCCCCTACCCGGCTTATTCTCCTCGACTGGGCTCTGACTTACCCTATGCAGCTTGTGGTTTTGGGGGGGACTGCCCAGGCAGTTCATATGCCGTTGGCGAAGAGCACCGCTGGGGTCTGGGCTGGATGGAGACCGACTGCGCCCCGCTGGGACCTCAGGGACTGGAAAGCGGAAGTTTCCGCAGGCAAACTGTCTTGCTACTGGCGGTGTACTTACAGCCTTAGTTCTCCACCGAAGCGGCGAGAGAAAGGACTCGTTGTCACTGACAAAGCCTAAGGCGGGGGTTTACTGTTCCAGCTACCTGAACACCACAGGGGACTATAGTCTTTTAAGTCAATGTTAACTATATTCATTGATGTCCCAGGTTTTTATTTTCGCTGTTAGGCCTCAGGGAGTCAGATTTGGGATTTTGCAGCACATTGGGTTAGGATTGTCAGTGCAGGTGTAAATGCTGCATAACTTTTTTTTTTTTTAATCCTCACCGAGGTTTTGCATTTGGGAGGGAGAGAGAGAGAGGAAGAGAGAGAAATATCGATGTGAGAGAGACACATCAAGTGGTTGCCACCCACAGGACCCCAACCAGGGCCGGGGACAAACTACAACGGAGGTACGTGCCCCTAGCGGGGAACCGAACTGGACTCTCTGGTCCGCGGGCCAACTTTCTAACCGCTGAGCCAAACCAGCCAGGGCAATGCTGCATAACTTTTAAAGCTGATTGGGATACGAAGAAAGATGCTCATTCTTCTCAGGGCATGTGACGTGTGTGTCTGTCTGTCTCAATAGAAGCTCCAATTTATAGACTTCTGGAGGACATTTTTCTGTTGGACTGCCTGTGGGCAGAAGTTTGCAACAGGCTTTACAGTCAACTGCTTTTGTGGTTTCACTTGCTGCAGGTCATTTTCCCATTCTATAATTGTCTTTGTCTGGGACAAGATGTATTTGGTAAGTACTTTGCACGCATTGTCTCAATGCTCATAAGAACTCTATGGAATGGGTCTTTGCACTTTATGGATGACAGGGCATTAAGGAGCCTTGGGCAGTTAGAGAACTTATTCAAGAGCACACAGCAACTAAATGACAGAAATGGAATTCTAACCCAGGCTGGCCTAACTTCTTAGCCTGGGTTCCGTTCTATGCTACACTTACCCTGCTGTTTTGAAAAACCACCTACTTTTGAAGCACGTGTCAGGAATATCATTCAAAATTTACTTAAATGATAAGATGGTCAACTAGGGTTATGCAAAATTTCTGATCTGGTATGCACTAGCTTTTCTCCCCAAGAACGTATGTCAAAAGGAAGTGTATTTGACACTGACTGCAGTCCAGGTTGTTTTTTAAGTAAGTAATTCTTAAACTTAACTACTTTATTTTTGGTTACCAAACTTGTGACATAGACCACAGCTGACTCTGACACCCTGAGGCTTCACTTACACACGCCTTGAGAACACCTGTGTTTGTTTTGCAGGGTCTCTCCTTGCCTCATTTCACTGGTAGAGTTAAGACGAAGGGAAATCATTAATGGCTTTAACAAATCAAATGATTGTTCCATGTTACAGGGCCACATATCAGAAAACAATATTCAGTAACTAGTTAATGAGAATGAGGGTTGCTCATAATATGAAATAAGTGAGTTTTCCTCATGGGAATAACTTCCAGTGCCTATTAAATCTGTTCATAAGTTCTTAGGAAAATGTTAAGTTTCAATAAGGTGGATGTGGGTCTTAAATAGTAGTGTGATGAGAGATGGGAAGGCTTGCTGTGGTTTGGGGCACTCCAGGCCAATTGACAGTAATCATCATTGTCAGTATCATTATTGAATACTGTGTTGTTTTATGACACCTGCTTTATTACAACATTCCTTTTTGGTGTTGACCTCAGGAAATATTCTGTAGCTTAGAGTAGATACTGGTCCAAATACTGTGTTTACATGAGAACTTGAAGCGTATCTTGCTGAAGTCATTTATTTATTCATTCACCCAATTATGTCATAAGTATTTATCGGTACCTCTGATGTGGCAGGCACTATTCTAAGTGCTTGATATCGAATGGTGAAGAAAATAGAGTCTTAGCCCAATAGACATTCTAGTGGAAAAGATAGACAATAAACAGATTAATAGATAATATAATGACAGGTGGTACACTGAAAAAAAATAAATCAGGTGAAAGGGAAAGAAAGTGAAGGCTGATTGGAAAGGATTGCTATTTTTAAAAAGTGGTTGAAGATAGCCATGTGATAAAGTGACCTTTTATTTATTTATTTTTATTCTCACATGAGGACACTTTTGCATCCATCTTGAGATAGAGTTGGAGGGAGAGAGGGAGGAAGAGAGAGAGAGAAACATCGACGTGAGAGAGACACATCGAGTGGTTGCCACCCACATGACCCCAACCAGGGCTGGGGACAATCCGCAACTGAGGTACGTGCCCTTAGTGTGAACTGAACCGGACTCTCTGGTCTGCAGGCCAATGCTCTAACCACTGAGCCAAACCAGCCAGGGCAATAAAGTGACTTTTAAAGCAGAGATCTTTTTGATGAGGTCAGCTTGAAGGAGCATGCCCCCCACTGGGGATGGGGGCCATAGCCTGGGTATATGCCCCTACCAGGAATAGAATTGGTGACCTCTTGGTGCATGGGTCGACACTCAAACACTGAGCCACACTGGCTGAACTATAACAGCCCTTTTATACAAAATATTTTGTGACAGTTTTATCTGTGGAAAACATATTTATGTAAACCATGTTTAATGGCTCTTTTTTATTCCATTGTGTACATTTACCATCAGTCTCTTATTGTTGGATAATTATCTGACTTCATTTTTTCCTGTTCTTTGATGAAGATCTTTTAACTAAATTTTAGTTAGTGTACATCTTTATTTTTTTAATTTTATTTAAACAATTTTTTATTGATTTATTTTTAGAGAGAGAGAGATAGAAACATCAATGCGAGAGAGAAACATTGATCAACTGCCTCCTGCATGCTTCCTACTGGGGAGCGAGCCTGCAACCCAGGCATGTGCCCTTGACTGGGAATCGAACAGGAACCTCTCAGTCCATGGGATGTGGCTAAATCATCTTTATTTTCTTAGATACATTTTTAGAGGTGAAATTGCTAATTCAAAGGGTATGCCTTTTTTAGTCTTTTAATATGAACTTCTAAGTTGTTCTCCATAAAAAGTGTACCAACTTTACACTCCCATCATCATTTTGTCAGAGTACTTGTTTTAGGTGCAGATTTGGATATTATGTTTATGTTTATTTTTATTTATTTTTTGGATGGAAACCTGATTTAATTCCATAATTTTCATGCCAGAAGCATGATTGGTTTTCATTTTTTAAAACAGATATTGGTATCATACACATTGGCTTATTAATAATTAAGGCATTTTGTATACACAGTATCTCAGTGTGGAGAAAAAACTTAGTACTGATTATTTGCTCTGATGTTTTAAACTTTCATAGACTTTTAACATAAGAAAATAGCTGCACACATTTGAGTGTTTTTTATAAAACACAATCTTAAAAAAAGTAATGATGATTGGTCTTTGTGGTTCCTAGAAATAAGTTCTGTCTTATTTTTTCACATAATATAAAGTATATTCGTATGCAGGACTGCATTAAGATCCAGTAGTTCTTAAACAATGTTACCAAATAACCATATAAATTCCAAATGCAGCAAAGGTGAACAATTTTCATAGTTCACCTTATTGAAGTTGAAGCTGCTCCTTTCAGATAATTTTTCCACTTCAGTGTGAAGTAGATTGTTAGGGTTTCATTAGTGGTTTCATTATGTGGCTTTAAAAAAAAAGTTTGAATTCTTCCAGTTCACAGTTCTCCAATGAGACTTGTTTGGAAATCATACAGTCTTGGGATGTTATGAATAACCAAATGCTCTTTAGTAGATGAAGTCTTTCAATGCAACTGTAATAAATAAGCATCTACATCCTTAGCTATATTACCAGTATATCCTGGAACCAAAGTAAGATGGTTTTCTTATTCCCACAATCCACTTAATTGTTGTTTTAAAATCTGAATATTTCCATCATTTATAATTTGTTTTGGATGATAGTTCGGACCACCACCTTTTTATGACTGCTTGAAGCCAGTTTAAACCAACTATTATATATTCTTCAAATTTGCTTTGAAGTAGTGACTTTAAAGAGGCAACAAGTCTACCCAGCAGCCGAGTGAAATGTATTGCTTTTCTTCTTGTAAACTATTGGTAAGCACAGGAAGACAATCTACCATGACTCCAAGGTCTTCTATCCTCACCCAATAAGCTACAAGTTCACTTATACTTCTTTTTTTCCAGAAAGTTAAAGCTATATTCAGTCTCAAATTCCTGCTGAACAAAACCTGTGCCATTATTTATGGTCCTGAGAAACCTCAGGAAAAAACCCACTATATTTTGATGATGCGCTTTCTGTCTGTGAAGAACCAGAATCACTGAAGTTAAGCAAATATGTTCGGCTGTCATGGTGTAATTGCTCAGGCACATGGCCTGCACAAGCCAGTTCGTTTTCTTTATTTGCCATGTCACGGCCCCCACTTCTAGGGGACTGTTTCTTTTTATAACAATAATTTGGGAAAGGATAATGAACTTTCTTTCTGTGGTAGATCGATCACCTTACCTAGTTTATCTGGAACGCGTCGGACTGTTCTATTTATGTAAGCAGCCAACTGTTTTGGAGATTTCTTAACCTCCTTCATGTTCCTATTAGTGAAATTAGAGATTCTTTTTCTAGGAAGATCAGTGGAATGATCCTCAATATTATTACGAAAGTTCCGTTTTTTACCATTGTGGGTTTCAGATGCCATAATCTCTTAAATACCCAAAATGAAAAGTATTATGAAAATGCCAATTTGTTTTAGTAGCTCCACCATTCTTTTAGCTTCCCAGATTTAAAACCTTGAGATACTGTAGACTTTTACCCCC